AGCAGCAGGAGTGACAAGAGCGAGATATTGGCTGGAGAGAGCACAATTATGTGGCAAACAGGAAGTGAAAAGGCATGGGCTAAATAGGAAGTTCATACGGAGGAGCAAAGGGTTCAAGGTTCCAGATAAAAAAATGTTCAAAGAAAGCTCATTCAAGGAATTGTCCAGGTTGCTGTTCAGCCATTGCCAAACCCAGCAGAGGTCGTAGTTTCAGACCTGGGTCCTGTCAGTGAGCACTACAGCAAAAGCTTTTACAGACGCTGGGCAATGGCTGCCTAGTGGACTTTTCCCTGAGGCTGTTGGCTTACAGGAAGAGGAGCTTGGCACCATATGACCCATGCAAATATGTTTTTGAACATTTTTGAAAGGTGAGGTGTAAGAAACTCATTGATGGTTACAGGAAGCCATTGATTTCAGGTATTTTTTCCAAGGGGTGTGCTACCAAATATTACATGGAGGGTGCCAATAATTTTGTCCAGTCCATTTTTGGGGTTTTGCGTGGAATGTGTCAGATTTGGCTTTTCTCCACTTTTTTTGTGTCATACAAATACAAACTAAATAAATAAACACGAGAATGCCAAAACATGTAATTGCAACAATGTTCTGGGTGAAGTGGTGCGTTATCTGACAGAAATCCAGGCGGGGGGAGGGGGGGGGGGCAAGATTTTTGTCCATGACTATAGATATTCAGCTGTTTGCCTGGAGTTCAGCTACAAGCCGGCAAACAAATAAAACCAGCCATGGGTCACTAATTATAGATTTTGTCTTTCCCATAACTTTTCTTTAAGTTACAAATAGCCATCGGCGGCATTTCCTGCACAGAGGAGGACTAATTGGTCACTTGGGATTCTGGCTGATGACAATGTTGTATTTCTTCGCTGACAACATTTAATCAACATCATATTTAATAGCAGCGGCCGAGATCGGCTCTCTTATGCCTCCCATAATTGCTCCATTCCAGGCACGCCTGTCAGCAACAGATGTGCCATTATCAGAGGTGATGGAAATCAAGGTATTGAAGAAGGTTCAGATCCCAAAAATAAAGCCAATTAATTATCACGTCGCAGATGTAGACTCCGGCTCTACATGCCCCATCTTCTCTGGCTCTACATGCCCCATCGTCTCTGGCTCTACATGCCCCATCGTCCCTGGCTCTACATGCCCCATCGTCTCTGGCTCTACATGCCCCATCGTCTCTGGCTCTACATGCCCCATCGTCTCTGGCTCTACATGCCCCATCGTCTCTGGCTCTACATGCCCCATCGTCTCTGGCTCTACATGCCCCATCGTCTCTGGCTCTACATGCCCCATCGTCTCTGGCTCTACATGCCCCATCGTCTCTGGCTCTACATGCCCCATCTTCTCTGGCTCTACATGCCCCATCGTCTCTGGCTCTACATGCCCCATCGTCTCTGGCTCTACATGCCCCATCTTCTCTGGCTCTACATGCCCCATCTTCTCTGGGGGGGGGGGGGGGGTGTTTTGGGGGTGGGGGGGGGAGGGGGGTTGTATTTTGTTTTTTTTTTTTTGGTTGGAGGTCCTGTCCCCAGGTTTCAGTCATGTCTCCCCTTTCCCTTCTTTCCTACAAACTGGACATGTTAAGTCCCTCTTGATATGTTTTATCCCCCCCCCCCAGACCTTCAACTATTTCTGTTCCCCATCTCGGGACTTATTCTATCTTATCAATATCTTTTTGTAAGTGAGATCTCCAGAACTGGACACAGTATTCTACATGATGTCCAACTAAAGATCCCTCTAGTGATATAAAGATCTATATAGAGCAATCAGGACCTCCTTCCTCCTGCCGGTGACCCCTCTAGTGATATAAAGATCTATATAGAGGAATCAGGACCTCCTTCCTCCTGCCGGTGACCCCTCTGGTGATATAAAGATCTATATAGAGGAATCAGGACCTCCTTCCTCCTGCCGGTGACCCCTCTAGTGATAGGATCTATATAGAGGAATCGGGACCTCCTTCCTCCTGCCGGTGACCCCTCTAGTGATATAGAGATCTATATAGAGGAATCAGGACCTCCTTCCTCCTGCCAGGGACCCCTCTAGTGATAGGATCTATATAGATGAATCGGGACCTCCTTCCTCCTGCCGGTGACGCCTCTAGTGATATAAAGATCTATATAGAGGAATCAGGACCTCCTTCCTCCTGCCGGTGACCCCTCTAGTGATAGATCTATATAGAGGAATCGGGACCTCCTTCCTCCTGCCGGTGACCTCTCTAGTGATACGATCTATATAGAGGAATCAGGACCTCCTTCCTCCTGCCGGTGACCCCTCTAGTTATATAAAGATCTATACAGAGGAATCAGGACCTCCCTCCTGCTGCCAGTGACCCCTCTAGTGATATAAAGCTCTATATAGAGGAATCAGGACCTCCTTCCTCCTGCCGGTGACCCCTCTAGTGATAGGATCTATATAGAGGAATCGGGACCTCCTTCCTCCTGCCGGTGACCCCTCTAGTGATAGGATCTATATAGAGGAATCGGGACCTCCTTCCTCCCGCCGGTGACCCCTCTAGTGATATAAAGATCTATATAGATGAATCAGGACCTCCTTCCTCCCGCCGGTGACCCCTCTAGTGATATAAAGATCTATATAGATGAATCAGGACCTCCTTCCTCCTGCCGGTGACCCCTCTAGTGATATTAAGATCTATATAGAGGAATCAGGACCTCCTTCCTCGTGCCGGTGACCCCTCTAATGATAGATCTATATAGAGGAATCAGAACCTCCTTCCTCCTGCCGGTGACCCCTCTAGTGATATAAAGATCTATATAGAGGAATCAGGACCTCCTTCCTCCCGCCGGTGACCCCTCTAGTGATATAAGATCTATATAGAGGAATCGGGACCTCCTTCCTCCTGCCGGTGACCCCTCTAGTGATATAAGATCTATATAGAGGAATCGGGACCTCCTTCCTCCTGCCGGTGACCCCTCTAGTGATATAAGATCTATATAGAGGAATCAGGACCTCCTTCCTCCTGCCGGTGACCCCTCTAGTGATAAGATCTATATATAGGAATCAGGACCTCCTTCCTCCTGCCGGTGACCCCTCTAGTGATATAAAGTTCTATATAGAGGAATCAGGATGTCACTCCAGTATGCCGTCCATTCAGAGCACAGTGTGCATGCGCCTGTGATGTCCCCAGCTTCTACAAATGTGAATATGTCCTGAACGGTACATGTTTAGGAGGCATTCACTGTACCTACAGGTCAGCCTTTTTCTAGGGCTTTTTTGTCAAAAATAGGTACAGGAACTCCCCCCTTCTGAGTCATGTCTTGTTCCACCACTACCCACCTCTGAGCACCGTCACTTAACTCCACCTCCTACCCACCTCTCAGGACCTCTCTTTTTAGGGAAAACAAAAGCCAAGTGTCATTTTGTGATGTTAAATAATTTGTATGGAATTTGTTAATGATAACAAGAAATGGAGAAAATTAGAACCCCCACAGCCAGCAGCATTAGAAACCCCCCAGCAAGAATAGATTCCTCCATCAACAATGCACCCCAAAACAAAATACCACCTTAGACCCCCCAGCAGCTACAACAGATCTTCTAGCAGCCAGCATCAATAGACTCCCCAGCAGCAATAGAAAATATACCCCTCCTCCAACAGTAGATCACTTTAGGAACATTTGAACCCAATCAACAATAGACACCACCCCCCCCCAGCAACAATAAACCACCACACAAAAATAGATCTCCTACAGTGACAATAGAACCCCAGCAGCCAGCAACAATAGACCCTCCAGCACTCCCCAGCACCCCATGCTATTACATACATTCAGTGATGAAGGCGTTGGAACTGCATTCCCCCGTGTTCCAGCTGAAAATAAGTCCTGCTTACCTGTACGTAAGAGTACCACTTTAAGGACATTGTACACAAGGGATAGTCAATGGGCTGCAAGGTAAGGGGTCTCAGTTGGCATTAACTGTGGGCAGCAAGACATTAAACTCAGTAGTTCCGCTCTGGACCTAAACACTGCTTTGGATCTCCGCTGGGGCTACCCAGATCCTATTCGGTGGATTCTACTAGACAGAATAGAACAGAATAGAAAAAATAGCATATAAAATAAAATACTAGAATAAAATATAAAATAAAACAGAATGAAATAGAATGGAACACAAAATAAAGGAATAACATAGAATAGAATAAAACTGAATAGAATAGAAAATAAAGGAAAAGAATAGAACAGAATAGAAAATAAAAGAATAAAAATAAAATAATATAGAATAAAACAGAATAAAATAGAATAGAAAATAAAAAAATAACATAGAATACAATAAAACATGCATGGGACGTGACAAGGGGGCGAAGGACACTGAATGGAGGCCAGTGGAGGGATTGACAGAGAGGGGCAAGGGACACTGAATGGAGTCCAGTGGAAGGCTTGGCAGAGAGGGGTGGAGGACACTGAGTGGAGGCCAGTGGAGGGATTGGCAGAGAGGGGTGGAAGACACTGAATGGAGACCAGTGGAGGGATTGGCAGAGAGGGGTGGAAGACACTGAATGGAGACCAGTGGAGGGATTGGCAGAGAGGGGTGAAAGACATTGAATGGAGGCCAGTGGAGGGATTGGCAGAGAGGGGTGGAAGACACTGAGTGGAAGCCAGTGGAGGGATTGGCAGAGAGGGGTGGAGGATACTGAATGGAGGCCAGTGGAGGGATTGGCAGAGAGGGGTGGAGGATACTGAATGGAGGCCAGTGGAGGGATTGGCAGAGAGGGGTGGAGGACACTGAATGGAGGTCAGTGGAGGGATTGGCAGAGAGGGGTGGAGGATACTGAATGGAGGCCAGTAGAGGGATTGGCAGAGAGGGGCAGAGGACACTGAATGGAGGCCAGTAGAGGGATTGGCAGAGAGGGGTAGAGGACACTAAATGCAGGTCAGTGGAGGTTTTGGCGGAGAGGCAGAGGACACTGAATGGTGATCAGTGGAGGGATTGGCAGAGAGGGGTGGAGGACAGTGAGTGGAAGCCAGTGGAGGGATTGGCAGAGAGGGGTGGAGGACAGCGAGTGGAGGCCAGTGGAGGGATTGGCAGAGAGGGGTGGAGGACAGTGAGTGGAGGTCAGTGGAGGGATTGGCAAAGAGGGGTGGAGGACAGTGAGTGGAGGCCAGTGGAGGGATTGGCAGAGAGGGGTGGAGGAAACTGAATGAAGGCCAGTGGAGGCATTGGCAGAGAGGGGTGGAGGACACTGAATGGAGGCCAGTGGAGGCATTGGCAGAGAGGGGTGGAAGACACTGAGTGGAGGCCAGTGGAGGGATTGGCAAAAATGGGTGGAGGACACTGAGTGGAGGCTAGTGGAGGGATTGGCAAAGAGGGGCGTAGGACAGTGAGTGGAGGCCAGTGGAGGGATTGGCATAGAGGGGTGGAGGACACTGAACGGTTGGTAAGGTGGATGAGTTTGGCACCAGCATTCATGATGGACTGGAAGGGGGGTAGCCTATGCAAAGGTAAGCCAGTGAGGAGGGAGTTGCAGTAGTCAAGGTGAGAGATGACCAGGAAGAGAGTTAGAGGCTGTGTGGTGTCATAGGTTAGGAAGGGGCGTATCATGGAGATGTTGCGGAGGTTGAGGCAGCTGAGGTTGAGGATATGATCCTCGGATATCAAACCCCCATGCTTGGCTAATCCCGGCCCGTATATCAGAGTTGTGTGGAGTACTTTGTGCTCCAATTTGCTCTACAGACACTGGGAAGACGGTTCTTATGCAAAGTAGGCACTAGAGACGCGGGAACCGGTGCCAATCCAATCTGCTGTACCGGCCATAGATTAAAGGCTTCAAAATGAATGCTGATTTTCCTTTTTCTTCTCAACAAATTATTCCCCACTCCCCCCCATTCAGTCCAATATCCATGAACACTGGAACATGCCAAGTGCTCAGAGATGAAGACTTTGTATCTTTATTTCATTTATGACAATGTGGGGATTTGTTTGCCAATTACACATTTTTATAAGGGACGCCATTTGGACATGAGTAGGGTAGCTGCCGCAGCGGACTTCCTTTTTAAGAGGCCAATTCCAGAGCAGTCGTTCTTTTGATTGATTATTTATGGAGTCGATGATCTGCCACCTGTGACAAGTCATTGATTCACTGTAGTGTACAGGGAATGAAGAAATAGACCAACTGCGCCACTGGGCTCAACACAAAGCAAATACTCAACAGATTCAATTTTAAATAACAGGATAAAACCGAATAGCCCAGTTGGAGGTCTGGGAACCCACCCACGAGGTCCCTTTGGTATTCCAAAGTCAACGAGCTGAGAGACATGGAAGATCTCATGGCCACTCTATACGACCGAGGAGAGACTTTCCGAGACACCTGGAGACCGTGGCAGTACTTTGTTCATACTGAAGCCTATCTTCATGGAACCCCTCAACCTGCATTTAATGGTTGAACTGATGGACTGGATGGTCATTTTTCAGCCAGACTAACTATGTAACTATGTCTGAGGTGTGTTGTTTCAGCCATGTGCAGGCCCCGGGTAGGAGAGATGGTACACCTTGCATTACCTTGCCTGCTTTTCATTTCTTCCATGTGTCTTTCTCCTCCCTTCTTACCTACAGTTTCCTGGGTTTGATCTTCTGCTTCCCCTCACTCTTGACCCACTCTTTGCCCTTCCCCTCCTCCATCCTAATTTCATTCATTGTCTCCTACTTTAATATGTGGATTTTTTTATATCAATATGTCTTACCTATGCGGTGCCTGGCCCTCTGCATATGGTTTCTCTTCCCTTGTCCTCTACATAGGGTTTCTCTTCCCTGGTCCTCTGCATATGGTTTCTCTTCCCTGGTCCTCTTCATAGGGTTTCTCTTCCCTGGTCCTCTTCATAGGGTTTCTCTTCCCTGGTCCTCTTCATAGGGTTTCTCTTCCCTGGTCCTCTTCATAGGGTTTCTCTTCCCTGGTCCTCTTCATAGGGTTTCTCTTCCCTGGTCCTCTTCATAGGGTTTCTCTTCCCTGGTCCTCTTCATAGGGTTTCTCTTCCCTGGTCCTCTTCATAGGGTTTCTCTTCCCTGGTCCTCTTCATAGGATTTCTCTTCCCTGGTCCTCTGCATAGGGTTTCTCTTCCCTGGTCCTCTGCATAGGGTTTCTCTTCCCTTGTCCTCTGCATAGGTTTCTCTTCCCTTGTCCTCTGCATAGGGTTTCTCTTCCCTTGTCCTCTGCATAGGGTTTCTCTTCCCTTGTCCTCTGCATAGGGTTTCTCTTCCCTTGTCCTCTGCATAGGGTTTCTCTTCCCTAGTCCTCTGCATAGGTTTCTCTTCCCTTGTCCTCTGCATAGGGTTTCTCTTCCCTTGTCCTCTGCATAGGGTTTCTCTTCCCTGGTCCTCTGCATAGGGTTTCTCTTCCCTGGTCCTCTGCATAGGGTTTCTCTTCCCTGGTCCTCTGCATAGGGTTTCTCTTCCCTTGTCCTCTGCATAGGGTTTCTCTTCCCTGGTCCTCTGCATAGGGTTTCTCTTCCCTGGTCCTCTGCATAGGGTTTCTCTTCCCTGGTCCTCTTCATAGGGTTTCTCTTCCCTGGTCCTCTTCATAGGGTTTCTCTTCCCTGGTCCTCTTCATAGGGTTTCTCTTCCCTGGTCCTCTTCATAGGGTTTCTCTTCCCTGGTCCTCCGGTGACCCTGATGCTTTCATCTATTTATGCTTCTCCAGGTTGCATCCCATAGTCCATGTTCTCAGGAGCTCCTTAGTAGGCTACTTATAGATATTCACAGCAACCTCTTCTACTTTCTTCATCTATGTAACGGAACAGACCCAGTCTGTGCTTGGGTACTCCTGTTAGAATACCGCTTCCCCGTCCAAACACCAACCACAGCCGACACCAGTCTTGAAGTAAACCAGGAAGTAGACTAGTTTATTTGAACACAGATACAAGATATATACACTCAGGGGACAATCCCCCCTCCCTGCATAATGACACAGGGATCTGAAGCCCACCCTCAGAGGATCTTGACACTCCCTCGGATGGAGGAGACGTTTGAGGGAGTCTGGAACCCATATGCTGGAGGTATCTGAGACCCTAAACCTATCTCTCCCAATAAAACTTGAAATAGAGTAAAGTGATTGGCCCCCTTCATTGGCATGACTTTCTTCATGGATCCTCCGCGGGGTAATGCTATCCCGCCTCTGCTCTGGGGGTTCCCTCTCTTTCCAGCCAGGAAAGTTGTTACATCTATTGGGTCTCTTCAGCCCAGATGCCTGTAGGCAAAAAATTACAGTTCATGTTATTGCCACCTTCTGTGTTGTCCATATGTTTCCTAGGATTGGGGGGCACCAATAATTGTAGTACGTAGGCCGGGGTCATGTCTTTGCCAACACAAAGTTCGGCCAAAAACAAAGGAAAAATGAACCAAGCCATCTTCATTCCAACTCATATCAAGCATCGATCTTCAACCACAAGCCCGTAAATACAGGACTGAACGGTACCATCCACCACAGGCTGCCATATTGGCTGGGATCCTTTTTATTGGTTACATTTAGTAACCGAAGAGGCTCCTCTTTTTTTTTTAAACAGTACCCTGCTTTGTAGAGTGCAATGCTTCTTTAACCCCTCCAGAGGATTCCCCCCCCCCCCCTCACCTTCCTGACCGGGCCCTTTTCTTTGCGTTACGGCGCTGCACCACTTTAACTGACAATTGCGCTGTCATGCAACGCCGCACCCAAATTAAATTTATGTCCTTTTTTTTTCCACGACTTTCTTTTGGTGGTATTTAATCACCTGTGCATTTTTTTTTTTTTTAAGCAAAACAAAACCGACAATTTTGAGAACAAAACTATAGTTTGGACTTTTTGCTATTAAACATGTAAAGTAAAAAAATGTAAAAAATTTTATTTTGTCATAAATTTCGGACAAAATCTATTCTGCTCCGTGTCTTTGCTAAAAAAAAAATCCCAATACGTGTAAATTAATTGGTTTACGTGAAAGTTATAGCGTTTACAAATGGGGGGGTAGATAATGGGATTTTTTTTTTCCTACTAGTAATGGCAGCGATCAGCGACTTATAGCGGGACCGCGGCGGACATTCTGACACTGGGGGGGGGGGGGGGGAGGAACTAACTTGGTGTCACTGACACCCCAGTGATACCAATACAGTGATCAGTGCTAAAAAAAAAGCCCCGACACTGTACTAATGGCACTGGGCAGGAAGAGGTTAATGTAAGGGGTGATCAAAGGGTTAACTGTGTGTTTTACTAGGGGGCGGGTGTGCTTCACTGTAATCACACTGCTCTGGATGGCTGTGCTGTGTAGTGTGCCCGAGCTGACAGGGACCCACATGGAAAAAATATATATATTTGAAATACTACAGTTTTGGCCATATTCAATATATTTCTATATATATATATACTGTATGTTCAAATGTGTTTTTATTACAAAATATATTAAAAATATGTTTAAAAATACATTTATATACACATACTGTGTATATATATATATATATATATATATATATATATATATATATATATATACACACACACACACATACATTCACTGCATGTTGAAATGTGTTTTTATTACATCATGTATGAACATTTTTTTTTTTTTAATGTTTTTTTAAATATATTCTTCAGATTTTTTTTTTACATATAAAAAGGTAATTTTAACATATTTTTACATATATTTGTAAATGCATTCCATATATATATATATATATATATATATATATATATATATATATACACATTTAAATATATTTTGAAATATATTGAATACGGCCAAAATTGTAGCATTTCAAATATATGTCAATATATTTGGGAAGAATATTTTTAAAACATATTTCAAATTTTTTTTTCTTCCATATGGGTTTGAGAAGAAAAACTGGAAACCTATTTCAGGATGACTTACCAAGAAGCTTTTATGGAAAGTCAATCAAGTGTATCAGATGTGGTGGCCAAAGGATGTCTGAGTGTCAGATATAATGAGGTACACACACTGGAGCACCTCATCTTGAAGGACAGATTGCATCCATTGCGATACTTTGGTTTTCTCTAATTAGGACAATTTTAACCAAAGTGCACAATTATGAGTAATTTCATTAATGGACAAAATGATTAGCTGGAGTAATTTAAACTCTCAATCACGTACCAAAATCTACACAATTAGACATCAGTATGCGTGTTAAACCTTTACAGTGGTAACATTGTATCTGCATCGCCCTTCCTCTCCCTGTACGGAGCACATCCTGTGGATTCGGTTCTTCTCTCTGCCATGGGTTCTGCATTATAGTTCCACTACGGTGACTACGGCAGAATGTACCAAAGTACGTCCACCGGCCACTTTATTAGGTCCACCGGCTTAGTAGCACAAATTGCTAATCAGCCAATCACACGGCAGCAACTCAATGCATTTAGGCATC